TCGGAAAATGGTTCGGAAAATATCGCTGTAATAAAATAATATGTTAAGTCCTCCTTAATATTACATATATCCGCATAAACTTAGTACCCCTCATACTATGAGAAAATTTAATTTTGAGTACATTCTATGTTTTTAATCGACAATCATTGAGTTCTTTAAAAAAAGTATTAGTTTAAAGTTTAGATATAATATCCACTCATTTCCATACAAATATGAGACTTTAATTCAAACTTATATCATCTTAAATTCAATTCATTATGCAAAAATAAATGTTACTACTGTGGATAAATGTGTTTGCCGGCAGTATTTTCTGATTGTTCTTCCGTAACCTCTGGTGGCGATATTAAAGGCTTTACACGTGTACCTAAGGGCACTGATCAAATTAATGGATCCGATGTATCTGTGGTCTGTTAAATACATCGAAAAGGTTATCAGTTTTATAGGTATGCCGCAGTCTGTTGACTTTTCGTCTTACAGTGCTGCCTATTCGAGATTTTGTTTTTAAGGAACAATCCTAATGCCTCCGCGTCTAATATTGCAAAAGGGTGATTTCACATCTTCATTAAACTTACTTCTTCTTAAGCCGACATCGATGGTGCTTGAACTAATACACTTATTTGACCGTGTTCTGACATCGAGAGATTTGCTGCTTGGCTTTCATCACTGCATTCAGCGCACCGGGAGGTAATCATGGAAGCAGGAAATCATCGCCCTAATTATCGCCTGGGTTTTTTAGAAGACAATTGATCATCGCCAATAGGCTAATCAGGTACTATCGCCGCCAGCTTTCCAATATTTTCTCTCAAATTTTCCATTTCTGTGCATCAACCACTGAGAGAGGCGTAAAACATGAGAGCCCAATTGACGTATACTTGTTTTGTAAAAATAAAACATGCAAAAAGAAATGCATAGAAAATTATGTGGAATTTGACAATTGAAAGATATAATAAAGTTAAATCCAGTGTTTAGGTTTTTAGTTTTTTTATTGCAGAAAAAGTAATCATTATATATTCCTTTTTACAGATTTTCTATACAAATTAATGTAACCAACTCTGTCATATTGTTATTGATTAATTCAAATAAATGATGTCTTCTTCATCATTATATTAAAGTTTGTCCTCCCTTCTTATATGCCAAATCTTTTTTTTTTTTAAGCTCATATTAGTTTGGGGCAAAAGAAATCCATTACTTTTATATGAACTTCAGGACTTTATTTAACATGCTTCGGATTGTCCGATTTGGGTCAAATATGCACTGTTTTGCTGTACGATTTGTTGCCATTTTAAAGGTAACTTCAAAATGCCTCTCTCATAGAAGTCCTGGTCTCTATTTGCAAAAAACTCTAGTAGTCGATTTTCACAATCCTCCCTAGATTCCAATTTTTTATCATTAAAGAAATTTTGCAATGCAAGAAAAAGACGATATTCGCTTGGTGCCAAGTCCGGACTGTATGGCGGATGCATTAAAACTTCCTGGTCAATCGCTATCTTCAAACGGTCCAGTTGTTGATAGTAGAGATTAGAATTTAGCGTTTGGCCATATGGAAGCAACTCATAATGAATAATCCACTTCCAGTCCCACCAAATGCATAGTAAAACCTTCCTGGCCGTTTGAGGTGCTTCACCGCTCTTTGACCACCATCGTTTTCGCACAGGGTTATCGTATGTGATCCATTTCTCATCTCCAGTCACCATCCGTTTAAGAAATGGTTCTATCTCATTCCGTTTGGCCAAGGCTTCGCAGATGGTAATTCGATCCATCATGTTTTTTTCTGTTAATTGGTGTGGCACCCAAACATCGAGCTTCTTTTTGAATCCAGCTTTGTGTAAATGGTTTAAAACTGTTTTATGGTCGATTTTTAGCTCCTGGGTGATGTTACGACTGCTAACATGCCGGTCAACGTCGATCGCTTCTCCGATTTTATCCACATTTTCGACCGGCCTACCTGTGCGAGGTGCATCTTTAACATCAAAAATTCCTGAACGGAATCTACGAAACCAAAATTGCACATATTTGGCTGTTACAGTATCGGAACCATAAACACCATTCACAATTTTAGCCGCCTGGCTTGCATTTTCGTCTTTGTCAAAGAAAAACTGTAAAATGTACCGAATTTTCTCTTTGTTCACTTCCATTTTTAACACGCTGTAACTCACAACTGAATGCACTAAACAAAAAACAGCAAAAGAATTTTTTTTACCGCGAAATGTCACCTTTCCAACGAGCATAAATCTGAAATTGTTTGATCGATATTTTACGAGAAATCTATCAGTGCAGCCATCTACCGAAAAAATAATGGATTTCTTTTTCCCAAAACTAATATAAGAAGAAATAAAGAGAAAATCTAGTACCCAAAAAGTTGTACTTTCAGTATATTGCTTAACCTTTATGTAAATTTTTGTGCGAGTTACAAGTTTAAAAATTATTTATATCTTTAAGATCGTTATGTTTATAAATTTCGTATCAGCTATCCTGTAGTTTGTTCACCCAACTACTCCAATTTTGGTGCCATCAGCACCATCGTCTTCAAAGGTCGCCTAGAGTGACGTGGAATTTAAATAATTTGCTCCCACTTTGTAGTGAACGCAAATGTGGTGCTGGGCCGCGATCTTTTCCACCTTCTTTAGGTTGCAACGCGTCTTTCGCTCTTCCTGTAGAATACACCAACGACCTATAGAAATGGTCAAAAACTGTAGTTAGATTTTCGACTTTAGTGTACATCAATGTTTCTTTCCAGAAAGTTCGGCAAACTCTAGGAAGTGTCTACCATCACGTTAAAAAGAAAAATAAAAAAAAAAACAGCTTTTTGGTGCTTCAATTTTTTTACCGCATACCGATTAGCCAAACATTTCTAGCATGCCCATTCCAAAGGTGTCACGGTACTAGCCCCCTTGTTGCCGGTAGAGCGTATTTCTTAACGGGGTTTGGCTCTCTGAGCCTCATGACAAAGAATACAGAAAAAGGAATAGTCTCATCAGTAGTCTATCGTACGTCGGTCTACCGTGAGTTCGTCTGTAACCGTCTGACGTCCTCCCTACGGTGCCATCACATGCACACTCCCTCACCTGACCTCAGCCACAGCGGTGGCAGGCTAAACTCAGCCACACATCGGGGCTCCTCCGTAAGTAGGGGGCAAGAAAAAGGAAATAAAAAAAAGGAAATAAATGAATGAAAATACCTGACCGTGAATCTGGTCGTTGCTAGAGTCTGTGGTCGTGGCTGCTTACATCATCTGGTTCCTTCTCCTTACGCTCTCTTGTTCTCTTATTCACCCCTTTTCCTCTTCCTCCTTACCTTGTTGGGTTGCCTTTTGGCGTAATTTAAAGCGTTTGTTCAATGAATTTTTATTATGAATTTCATTGACGATCAATGATATACGTCATATTACAGCTGCCGTTGCTGTTATCGTTGTTATTGCCGTTTGTGTTTGTTTCGGTCTAATTATTTAAATTTTTTTTTTTCCTTTTTTTTTTACTTTAAGAAAAAAATAACTCCATTTGGTGAGATATAATTTCCAATTTATTTACATCAAATTTCCGTTTTTCTTTTTTTTCGGTATTGTAAACCACTTCTTGTAACTTAACTCATACATTAATGTGGATGTTTCTTTGCAATAATTCTCTTTCTTTTTAAATATTTCAATATTAACAATTTTCTCCTTAATGCATATTGTTTCGCAAAAACTACTGTAATAAGAAGCTCATGTATATTTTATATAAAATTTCCATAGGTTTATGTTGTTTACATAGATATGCCTTAGGCTTGTTTATTTTATTTCTTTCTTTTCTATTTTGGTACGCATACCGTCACTGGTATTTAAAATTAATATATTCATGCACGAATGCTATGCGCTTTACTTGGTGCATTCTGCCAACACACTCAACTCTTCACTTCGTTATTCTTGAAGGCAGTTTTATCGTTCTTGAATTAATAAAACACAATACTCTGGCTTAGTACTGATTTCTCTTATTTGTTTGCTTCATGACGTTTCTTGACTTTTGAGTTTTAACTATCAACGCCCTATTGCAATTGAACAAAACCTGCACAGATGCACTTAAATTTGACCGCGAGACAAAGAGAAATGGTAAATTTATCTACTTATACTTTAGCTTCTCTTTCACGATTTGCCTTAGTTAAGAGACATTTTTCAATCACTCTTTCTTTATTCCTCTTTATTTCTTTCTTCTTCGATCTATGGGCAAGATGCTATCGTAGAAGTTTTCTTTTATATTCTTTTTTTTTTTTTACTGCTTTAACTGCGGGCCATGTAATAACATTTGCGCTGCTTGTATATATATACATACAGATTCCAGCTTTATTTATTTGGCTTTAAGATTACCAATTAGATTTGGCAATTATTATTCTAGCTTTATGGCACCAGTCATATGCAAATATATCATTTTGAATCCCCGCCATATAATTGTTCGTTGGTAGTCGAATTTTACTATATATTTTTCATTTAATATTTTTCCTGTTGTCTATTGTTTAAATTTCACGTTGCTTTGATTTTTGTTTTTTCTTTTCTCGTTAAATTTTTATCTTTTTTCCTTTTTTTTTTAATTTTTGTTCTTGATAGGTGTTTCAGCAATTCATTTAGGAAAAGCAAAACCACTCTTATTGTTCAAAATGACAATCCAATCCGTTTTTATAATAGCTCGAAAACACGTCTGAACCTCAGCAAAGGCCAGACAATTCTCCCTTCTATCTTAGAAACAAAAAACAGACAGACCTCTCATCCCTGCGCAATTCTTCTCTTCTTCTTTCTGTTGCTCTCTATAGCGGCTTGCCGCTAGTCTCGCAAAAGCAAGCAAAATCCCCCAAGATCATGCGATTTTGCCTGTTCTTGTGAAAGCAAACAAAAAAGAATGCCGCAAAATCACATGATTTTGCCTATCTTAATGAAAGGGAAAAGAAAAAAAGAACAAAACAATTATATCCCGCAAGATCATGCGATTTATAAACGGTACCACAAAATCACACGATTTTGTCTAACGGCATGCCGTTATTGCGATACTTGCGGTTGACACGGACCGACAGACACCCTACCCAAGGTTTGTTCGCGGCCGTTACAAAGGTTCCGTGCGAATCATGGGAAAATCCAAGAATTTGAAATTGACCGCAATGATTTTCATTTCATGGTCGCCAATCTAAAAGATGACGTTTACACTTATGTAAATAAAGGGAAGAATACACAAATATTTAGATTACATATTACCATTCCGTTTTGGCTGTACTTTCCTTTCCGATTAATGGAAATTGTTTCATTTCCACTGGCTTTAAAAATCATATGCGCGTTACATCAACCAATTATAGTAATAACTAATACAAATATTATAATAGTCGTATATTCTAAAACAAAAAGTTCAATTAGTTACCGCCTGGAATACCAAATTTCTGGTAAAACCACACCTTCGTATCCGCGTTTATGTTTCATTGGATACAGTCCGCACCAAGTTGTGTTTCCAACGCTTGTAAGACTTCTGATACAACGATTGATAACATGCTTTGTGCAACACTTACGGTATAGTTGCAACCCGTCATATCAATTTTGCTTTGAAGGCACGGAGCTTTTGCATAAATCTATATACAGCAATATAACATATAATTTATACGTCATTTGTAAATATTAGTAACAATTTACTTAATCGTTTTGAGGTAGCGTTCGTTTCTTCACAATTTACAAATGCAATTTCGGATCCTTTTTTTTTTGAATTTTTTAAAAAGAAATTCATTTTCTCTCGCAGCTGTTTATATTTTTTTTTAATACTAAATATTGTAATACTAACCTTCATACATGCACCCTTTCCACAATGTTCCTCGTCTTGCAATGGAGTTCGTTGTATTTTTCTTTATAGGAAGTTCGCCGAATTTCGGTGAGGCGTCATCAGCCAAGGATCTAAGAGTAACCTCAAAATAACTATAAAGATGTAGCTTTTAGCGCTTTAATATTTTTTTGACCGCCTACCGAGTAGCCACGTATTGTTATCATGCCCATTTCAATGGTATTCCACGTAAGCCCTTTCGCCGCAGTGCCTCCCAACGTGACAACCATGCGAAGATTTCGAAAATTTGGCATTGACCGCCGTTAGTTTCATTTCATGGTTGCAAATCTAGGAAGATGTTTATGTAAATAAAAAAAAGTTGCTAATAGACATATATTCAGATTACTTACTACCATTCCGTTTAGGCTATGTTTTCCTTTTCGGAGGCTTGACTTTCCACTAGCTTTAAAAAGCCGAAATAATAAAAATATAACAATGGTCGTTTATTGAAATATAAAAAGTTCAATTACTTACGCCTGGAATACTAATGACTGGCAAGAACACACCTTCGCCTGCGCATTTACGGTTCATTGGATCCCCTCCACACAAAGTTTTGTGTCCAATTCTTGTAACACGTCTGATACAACGGTTAATAACGTATGGTATGGTCGCTGCAGACCACCAATTCGTAACCTCCGAGCAGGCAACTTTAAAGTCACGGCTAAACGCAACACGGACAGTATATAAGTATTCCTCATACCATCACTCATATTAATTATTCCCAGGACGTAACGAAATCTGTTGTGCAACCATGAAACTTCTACATAAATCTACGTACATCAATATTGTAAGGAAGCGATTTTGCTTCCTTACGAAATACAAGTCCGTCCGCCTTAGACAAATATCCCCAGCAGGCAACCCGCCTGAAGATGTAAAACCATAGAAACACTCCCTAGCATAGGTTAAGAACACCAGTATACAAAAGCTCAGATTTCAAAACTTCAAAAAGTTCAATAGCAGAGCCAAGAACTCAGATAAGAAAAAGAAACCTTATATTCAAATGTATAAAAGCTTAGATGCAAGATCTCCAATGATTAATAGCAGAATTAAGAACTCCAACGTAGGAAAGGCTAAGTAAAAAAGAAAAAAAAAACGCAAAAGTATAAACACAAGGAAGAACTCAAAGTGTTTGATACCAGAATTAAAAACCCAAATGTATAAACCTATAAGTAAAAGGGGGAAAAAAAACTCAAAATGTCCACAAGCATAAAGCGAAAGAAAAACCACAATGCACAAAAAAAGGCATAGTTGTAAGAACCCAATCCGTATTAAGAACACAACCCGACTCATACGGTATGAACACATCTCAAACATACGCAGCAGCTATAGCAGCATTGCACAAAGATATAGTACCGTTAGGTCACATTGAATCTTTAAATAATGTACCAAGCTGATAGCACCGTTAGGGCAAACAAAACAAGCAGAATTGAACTTAGGTAGAAAATCTGTACATGCAAAACGAACGAACTTCAGCAAGAATCTCTATGAGTAAAAATGCGCAGAATGTGTAACAACGTTAGGGTATACCAAACTTGCAGGAGCACGTACTTAGGTAGGAAAAAAATAATAACATACGACAATGCATAAACTGCATGCATAAACATGCCAAGCATGTAGAGATACACAAAGCAAAGCATATGCAAACACAAAGGCATAGAAAGGCACAAGCACTCACATACCTAACGGTGATTGAATCACGCGATTTGGTACCTGAGTGCCTAGTGAGTAGACATTTGAACGAACATAGTAATAAGCTAGATGTAAGTTGGTTTTAAGTTGTGTATAAGTAGGATCATGCAAGTCGTAACTAAGGTTGCGACTACAGCCAACCTAAGCTAAGCATACACATAAGCATAGTACCTCAAAACTCATGAAAACACATAGAACATGTTGGCATAGTCTATGTGAGTGAGGCTCAGGGTATAAAAGAACAGCGCATTGCACAGACTAGTTAATTTTGGTGTCATAGCCGTCTAAGGAGGTAAGTGCCCGCGGACAAATCGACAAATTGACCTTTATTAAGAGTTTTTTTTGTGACTTACGGATAGGGAATGTGCTGACTTAGCTGTTAGTCGCCATCCCTGAAGGACTTGCAGGCCTCTTGACTCACGGATAGGGGATGTGCTTAGTTAGCTGTTAGTCGCCATCCCTGGAAGACTGAAGGACACTTTTTTTTGTGCACTTATATACGAGGGACCAACCTAAGACAAACCGCCGAGGCAGCTATGACACTAGCACCGTTTCCGTTCTCTGTAGTGCGTCGCGATAATCCAAAAGGAAAATTTTAATAATACAAGAAGTTAACCTCTCATCACGTGCAAGCCACACCAGAAGCCGGGTCATCTCGCTGGTTCCTTTCCTTGCCGTAGCCAGCTTCTACCCATTGCTGTACTTCTCTCCCGTAAAAAAGGAACAATAAACTAAGGAAATTGTACACCATTCCTCCCCCCGAAGGTCCGGATTTTTATTCAAAATTTCTTGCAACGAACCTTGGAATAAGTGAGTTATACCTCGCCCAAGAAAACTCGTTACAATATAACATATAAAACATGTGTATCATTTACTTAATCGTTTTGAGGTAGAACTAGTGGGCCGAAAGCATACCGCAAAGGCTTGGTGACACGTTATTGGCGTCAGCATTATCGCTATTCTCCTTTTCGACGAGCAAGCGTACATTGTACTGGAAGTGTACATATTGGTTAACATTGGTTAATTTCACTCGATATAAAAGAAAAAAATTGTAATTGCTTTTTCCAAATTTCCTTTCCTTCATAAATCACCAATTCGGACACACTTAACTTTTTTTAATTTTTTTTAGTTTTTGAATTATATAATGCATATAATAATTCACTTTTTAACAGCCGTTTACATTTTTCTTTTACAGCTGATTTTCGACAAAAGCATATCTAACAGAAAAACTTGTGGCAATGAGCTGGGTTTATATTTAATACTAATGCAAATTTGTTCTCAGCGATATTTAGCGACAATCATGACCAAATTTTCTTACCCAATTAGATTTTATTAGTGATTGTTGTCCGCTTTCATATTTACTTTCTAGGCGGGTAATCACGTAGCTGCAAGTTAGCTCTCGTTTCTCTCTGATTATGCATGGCGTTAGCTAAGTTTCATTTTCAAGTATTTTTGCTATATGTAACTACAATTGCTTCGAGAAACGCTCGCTCATATCTGTCCACTCAGAAGTAAACCAGACAATCCATGCTTTGCGTTAGTATTGTTTATTTAGATTTGCATTTATAAGAGAAAATTGCTATAAATTGAAAATAAAATAAATTCCAAAAAATATGTTTACTTACAACTGCTGACAATTCGTATTCGATCTGTGCTCTGAGTAGTGCGCGTTTTCTTTTCGTCCGCGACTTTTTGATTGCTTCGATCTTTTTGTGTATTTGGCTGGGGTGTTTTCAGTGTTTCTGCTAAAGTGGTTTTCGCAGATCCCATGTGCGGTTTTGTTTTCTCTATACAAAAAAAGAAAAACTGAAAAAAATATAAAATAACTTCCATTATTTAGTAGTTCCTAAACTTTTTCCAAAATTATTAAATAATAAACTGGCAACAAAAAAGCATAACAACCACGAGGCCGCCAGATAAAAACTCAAATATGTTTCATCTTTTAGCGGACAATCCACCACGGAGAAAAGTACTTAAAACTTCGGATTTTCCGGTATTACCAATCAGTACCATCATTCCAATTGACAAAACGTATGTGGTTATTTTCTTAACGGAGGCTGGAATGATAATTTCCCAAATCAGTCCCTTCTCTATAAAAAAGCCCTAGAGAGCATTACAACGTATATAGATTCAACGTCGATTCTATGCGATGGTAATCTACTTGTTCTCGCTGGGAACCCGCACGCGACGGAAAACCTCTTAAAGTCAAAATGATTAGTAAATTTATGTTCAATTTCTGCTAAACTACATGACAAAATTAACTCGGTTAAATACGCCGCGTGCTTAAGACATGTACCGGAACACAATATAGTTCGCAAAATGAGCAATCAATGCTTGACTGAAGCTTATAAATTTACTAAATCAAATTACGACGGAAACACTCGCTCTCCTACAGGAAGGATAATTATTATCTTTGATCGCACTTCCTCCGTTGGTTTCACGGTCTATTTTCGATGATGTATATAATAGGCCTCCTAGATAAATCGCATTGGATTAATTACTCCAAACGGGGCGAGTCTGAATTTCTGAATTCAAAGCCATTTAACAGGCACTGCAACCATGATACTGCTAATATGTCTAAGTCCATTCGCAGGGCTGGTCATCTCTCTATTCCTCAATCCAACAGATTTTTTAAACAAGCTTCCTTTGAAACAACATGCTTTAGTTATTAAGGAAAAACAAAATGGATTTATGGCACCCCTTTAAAAGATGCCCTGATCGTGATCACTTGTTATTACTTAAAAAGACTAATGCTGTATTCAGGAAGTAGTTATGAAAATCAAAAGTACTTAGTTTCGAACTTTTTTCGAAAAGAATTCACAGAAATACATCAATGATAGTTGTCTGGAACAAAATCAACAGATTCAATGGGGCTTCATATTTAAATGAAATTTCCGCCATCTGCTCTCCCAACGAAACTTTAACTGATGCAGGTGAAATTTCTAATTATTTTGCATAAGTATGTGCGAATACTCCTCTGACAACTTCTCCAGTGCTTTCATTGAAAATAAAAGGACGCCAATTTACCTTTCAAATGCTATTGACAGAAGAGTTCCCGGAAAATTGTATGTCTTCCTTAGAATTGGAAAGTTGTTTCTCCAAATCAAAGAGGAGGACACCTGGTCTAGATCGCATCTTGTAACAAATGATCAATGCTCTGCCTAATTCAAGTAAAAAGAAATTAGATATGTGATGCAGGAAATCGACTGGTCCATATTAATCACTTACCAGTACAAAAGTACAGACGCTCCATACTCTCGGGCTCACGTTTCCTAACAAATATCGTTGGATAAAACACTGTCTTCGGTTAAAAAATTCCATTGTAACAAGGATGAATTTCAAACAATACAGTAAAATTGAAAAACTGAATGGTGAATTTCATACAGTACGTTGCTTGGAAAAGGCATACGCCCATTAACACTATTGCTTATCTTACCAAAGTGCTTGTGTTAAGCAAAACTGACTATGCTTTAATAATTTATGACAATAGCTGCTAATTTAATATCGACATCTTTAAACTGTTCTATCAAGACCTTAGAGCAAGTTGCCATGGTTTTCGGACGACGCCCATCAATGATATTATAACTGAAACTAGTCTTCTAGCTTTAGAAAATAGACCTTATGAATTAAAAGCTAAAATTGTCCAAAATTTTTAATTCTAGGTGAAGATGTGAGGAAGATTATTATTGCCAAGAAAATTCGAAAGTCTTCATCCGCAAATGACTATAGTTTGTACGTCGCAAAGGAATTGAGAATTGCTTTTAAAATTTTTCGCTATTTTGGTCTTAAACCTCAATGGATTTTGAAAGACTACTCTTTCGACATTTTGCTATCTATGCACAAGAAGGAAGATACTCCAAATTACGTCTTCAGGAATCCAATGGCGGAAAACCCCAAGTACTGGAGACTAACGGTTGGAAGCTTTTATACACAGATGGCTCAAAATCTTCTAGTCTGTCACCTGCTTGTGCCTTGGTACCTACTTCAGGACAGGTACTTCTCAATCACATATTTCACGAAAGTGTTTTAACGTTCGCAAGCAAAGCCAGAGCTACTCTTCACACTTCGAACCTTTCCCACAGAGACAATCCTTCAACGTCCGGATGAAATTAAGGAATATTGTAATAACACCCAGCGAAAAATTGAAATGCTTTCGTTACCAAGTCATATCGGTTTATAGGGAAAGGCGCAAGCTGATCGAGCGGCGAAGTGTGCTGCTTCTGCACCTCTTATTATGGATGATGTCATGGAAAAGTTGGAGCTTCAAAGACACATTGCAAAAAAAGTTAAGGAGAACATTACAGAACGAAATATACAATATCATCATCAGCACTACTCTTCTATTAACCCTCAATTAATACCACCTTTGTGTCCAACAGACATTGAGAAAATCAAGATTCAAACATTTTTGAGAATTCGCCTTGGCCATACAAATGCAACTCACCAATGGATCTTGAAAAAGTCTTCCTCCCCAATTTGCAATTGCGGAGAAATTCTCACTATAAAACGCATTTTGTGTGGCTGTCTTAACTTTTCCTTGGCTGCAAACATTGCATTTGAAGCGAGTAACCCTGTGGATATTCTAAAATTAGCTACAGAAAAACATACCAATACAACATATTACTTTATTAAAACTATTAGGCTCAGTATCTAATGTACTTTTATAAATTAGAGCCGATACCCTGTGTTGCTAGTGCTCAATGTCTTTTTTTTTTAGGCTAAGAATTTATTTCATTAGTCTAAAATTATAATAATAATAATAATAATAGTAATGGTAATAATAATGCTGAGCCAAAATAAAAAATTTTTGAAAGATAAAAGGACTAAATTAATTCTTTCCTCTTTGTTCACATCAGGTGAAATGATTCCTTTGCTCATATTGTTCACATTTTGGAAAAGTTTCTCGTGTCAAGAGCGGTTTTTTGAATACATTTTGGAAAAAATTGATGTGAGTAACTTCTTGTTACGCTTTTATTTTTGTGACGCGTTGTTGTACAATAAATGAAGAAAGTTTCGTAAAAGGCAAGTTTAGACTGAATGAAATGGTGGTGAGTTCATCTATATAAATATATATTTTTTCATGTATACATATAAATATTTTATTCGTAACGTTTGCGGCCACATGAAAATTATGGCAGTAAACTTTTGATTTCGTGGATCAAGGCAACCTATTTATGATGAGGACATAAGGACCGGTACATCTCCTTTACTTTCAACCTGAAAGTTTTCATAGTTATACGAATCATAGAAAATTATTTTGTTATTTATTTTAAAAAAATGTCAAACTTGAATTTTATTTTCCAATTAGTTTTTCAGAATAAACTTCAAATGACGAAAGTTGTGCCAAAACCAAAGGGCTTTTAAGACACGCCATTCAAATGAGGCCTAGTTAACTAAAAGATATATATCAGTGCCCAGAACAACGAATGCTAACACAAAACTTGAGTAATTTTGCGTATGTCTGTTTTGACAATTTTGAGAGCTCTCGAAAATGAGACCTAGGTGACTCCACACATAATCAGTGCCCAGGATTCAGTTTACAGCCGTTGTCCACTAGTGCGCTTGCTAAAGAAACTTAGTATTAATAGCACCTTTCTTAATTCACCCGAATGCTTTCGTATCGAAACCATTTCTTTTGTTTGTTGCGCATTTAACGTTGTTTCGTGATATCGTCGATTTGCGAATAAGAATTATTATGCAAAAAAATATAAAACAAGTCATCTGAGCAAAGAGGAAAACCTAACACTTCATTTTTAATTCATTAATATATAAAGAGAAGCAAGTAAAAGCTGTATCCTGACATTCGCGTCTTAATTCTGACAAGTTTGCTTATGAAATAAACTCTCACCTTCTTCTTACCGCCACGACCGAAGATTTCTATTCGATATAAAATCCCGTATAAAATGAAGGGGTATTAACTATAGCTACCAAGTAACAGTTTCCCGCATGCGACTGGAAACGATATTGCGACGGGGTGGTGCCAAAGTTCCTTGTACAAAATTTCGCAAAGAATACTCCTTCAAGTAAAAAAGAACACATGACAACGCTGAATACGGTTCATACGATTCAAGTGATGACTTTGGATATATAAAATAGTATAAGATACTTTTCTCTTTGAATCTCCTTACCAAATTCGATAATTTATATAACGTAACCTCTTTCCCAATAAGAATAATGTTAATTAACAATGACGATGTTGTTGTATAAAGGAGATCTTTTACAAGTGTTCTTCAGGGATCTATATTGAGTCCTGTTTGTTTTAATTTAGGTATTAACAAAATTTTCAGTTTCTATCTTGAGAACTATATCTACATCTATAGAACTGTATATCTCATTTTAGTCAAGCCAAAATTGTAATACGCTTATTCGTTCTTATTGCATATTTCAAATAAGGACCTTCTGAAATTAAGCGAAATCCAAAGGAAATGCGTTCGTCTGGCACTTGGTGGCATGAAATCTACATACACCCTACGCTTGGAACAGAAGGCAAATGTTATGCCTCTACTAGAAAGATTTCGTTTACTCGCCAATTTTTCATCTAATAAAATTCTATCTTTTAAGAATCTACCGACCTTACCTTTCATTTCCGACTTTATATCATCCAATTGGTCACAAGGTGGTCCAAAGAGCTTGATGATCCCTACATTACGAAAATCCTGTACATGTGTTTGGTTAGACCTATACTCGAGTATGCCTCTGTTGTGTGGTCTCCTTCATATAGGTGCTATGTAGATTCAATTGAATGTGTTCAAAAGCAATTCTTGCTGTTTGCCCTTAGAAATTTGGGTTGGGATCCGATTGCCTCTCTTCCTCCCTATCTGCTGTCCTTACCGTCTCTTGTTCTTGGTGTTTCCTTTGTAATCAAAGTAATCAAAGTAAAGTAATTGGTGAAATAATCTTTAATGCCCCTAACCGCTTCTCTAGGCACTTTATCTTGGTTAAGATTTGTCAGTGTAAGTATAATTATGAGCTGTTTAATCCGCTCAGAGTAGTTTGCAAGAACCTAAATGACGTCTATTACTTATTCTCGTTATCGGACTCTTTAAAGTCCATTAAAGCAACATTGCTTAATACGCGCGATTTACCTATGTCTTACTTAAATTAGCTTTTATCCTTAAAAATCGTTACGATTGGAAAATGAATTGTTGTTAAGTATTATCGGTTGCCAGGCTTATGCATGTTTGCAATGGCTTAGGGGATCATTTGCAATTTGGTCCTGTGCCGGTTGTAAGTGTGGCTCTATGCTGTGTACATGCTTTTTTTCTTTTTTCCTTTTTTTTTTTTTTCTTATTTGTTTTATTGTACTTATACTAAGTCTTATTATTAATTTAATATAAGTTTTGCTTTAAGTGCCAATTGAACTCGACTGCTACTTGTTTAGTTGAGTTTTATGTATAAGTAGAATTAAAATAAATAAAATAAATAAATTCCTTTCCTTCCTTCTTTAAAGGTTTTGCTGATAAAGTTAACAATTTTAACATTCTAAGAGTTGATGTACATAGCTTATTCAAAATTCCTTTTGGTTCTCAATGCTTTCGGCCACTTAACTTCATACCAATGAGAAAATCCACAGTTATTCCGGCAAAAGTGCATCACCGCTACTCAAACCTGGTCAATATCAAATGGAGGTACTTTTCACTCATTTTTACTGATCCATTAAGCCTGATTTTGTAGGCAGCGGCGTTTGATTGCCAGATATTAATATAGAAGCTTACTTCTCAAATCACTCGTGTAGCATTATATTTTCGGCCGAATGTCTTGCGATCCTAGAAGCTATCCGCTTAGCGATCAAAAGATATTCATTATAGTGTCATAAAGTAAGTCTGTTTTAACGGCTCTACAATTATTTCCTTCAACACTACGTATTAGAATAGATAAGCATCAGATGCTTATTTTATAGACTCAAACCTGATACGTTTTGTTTTCACCTTCTTTGAGTGCTCAGACATATGGGCATCTTGGAAGTCTGCAGACTGCAAAATTGCATCTTCCAGACCATCTCATTGTAATGGTTGCGCCATGATTTCTGCAGATCTGAGGGCAATCGACAAAACACATTCAGTTCATTCTTGACAACAGCGATGGAATAATTCACCTTATGGTCGTCGCTCTTTATTTTTACAAATAAATAAAGCCCCTTGGCTTATCAATTGCGGACTCAGACGTTATATTATTTGCCTTATTGACAGGCTTATGTTTAATCACACATCTATTCAAAATAAAATAGTAAACAACCCCATCACGAAGACGAAAAAGAATTTCTTGAAGACGAGTTAAGTTCCTGAATAACAGAAGTTTTGAATGAATTGTACAGTCAAGATATATTAGAAAACCCAACATACTTGAGCTCATTTTCAGACACTAATAAAACCATAAATTTGAAAACTGTTAAATCTTTTGGATTCACGCGACCATATCGCTTTGGCGGTAACAAAATTTTTCCTACTTTTGTTAGAAATAATGCGGAGAGCGATGAAACAGGATCACAGCATTCCCCCAAATCATTAATGGCAGATTATAAGGCTGTAGAAATAAATGATTTCGGAAACTTACAAGCGCTTGAATACGATGAATCTAATGCTAAAACATTAACCCAATATATATGTCCATATTGTCCACAAGCATTGCATTATGTAAATTTAGTACCAAAATCTTCAATCTAAATATATATGGGAATGCGAATGTGCGATACGACATGAAAAGTTTAGTTCGCTCTACTACTTCAGAAGTCATGTCAAACAAGTGGTCGTCCACTAATAGCTTGTTTGTTTCTTTATTGTCAGAGAGTCAGCTATCTTTTTTCATATTTTGACAGCCACAATAACATCGACTTTTTTTATTTTTCATTTAAATATGAATGAGCAATGAAGAGGAGACGAAAATCCTACGCGATTGGATTTGGTCGCGAACGAAAGTTAACTTTTAGAGACGTCGTTACCTTCCAGCGTACCGTACATTAGGCCCTACGATTGGATAATTTCAATAAGAGTTGCGACGACATTTTGTAGAGCTGCATTTATAAGAAAATAACAATGAAACAGAGGAGTAGAAACAAGACATATTGTTCATTCGCCATGTAGGCAAATAGCGCAAAGAATAATTATGTTTTACTAACAAGCTTTAATAAAAAAAAAAAAAATAGAATGATTATGAGTAGAAGGGGTAGAAGTGTTCTAAAGACGCTTCCAATTCCCAGCTGCATAATGCAGTTTTATGGCGGTGACTGATATTATATTTGATTGCACGCATAATATTGTGTGCTTCTTTTAAACAATGACAATAACCCCAATAATTCTGTAATGTTTAAATATACATATATTAGGTATATTTTTTAAATTATATCTCTCACAAATAGCTAAACGGAACCAGAAGCTCTAAATTAAAAGCAATAGCGACTTAAACAAAGCTTAACAGTAGTCTTTATGAAACTAGAACAAGAAAGAGGACCCTATTTTACTTGCGCCAAACCTTCTAGAACAAGCGACTTTCTTTACGAAGGTATCGCCATCGTCTGACTATATCCACGACTGTTAGTATTATTCCTGCTCTATATTTTATATTATAATAATAATATAAGGATGCACGGTTATTTCCGCAAAATATATTTTGGTTTCTTAAAAGGAAATGGGCGCAAAACATAAGTCAATAAGTACTTTTTCACCATCTCACATAGATCCTTAATAAAACGCAGCAGGAGCCTAAGAAAAGGCAAACCAAGCACGCGTCCAGTGTATCATTTTTCTCACCTGCTGCTTGATTTGTACTTATTGCTGGTTTGATTGGTAACAATTTACGCTACGTTAGAGCTTTCACAATAAGCGTTGTTAGCTTTACAAATTATTTTGTTCGAATATTTATAGAACTCGTAAATCTCCATCTGTTTCACCAAAGATTTAAAAGATTTATTTCATCTGAGAGAAACAGCGGTTATTTTACGGATTTCAACAGCCACAAACAAAGCAAGCGATGACGAATATCATGTGTGAAGCAAACGAATATTAGCTTTCGCTTCGTTCGCCAATGAATGTTAACTGGATAGTCCGTGATTATGCCGGGAATTAGGATTTAAATAAGCAGTGAACTTGAAAGCAATAGATACGAACTTAATTCCTGAGCTTAAAACGACAATCACGCTGAATGGTATTTTCTCCTTCTATTAGCAAATATTTAAGGTGAATGATAAGATAAAGTTATGTCAACTTTATTATATTACATACAATGCTCTACATGAATAAAAAGCTGTAGTGTCCTCAGGAGTAACTGCTCATAAAAACGTGCTAAAATGCGAACGGAAGAAACAAATAAAAGCAGGCGTCCGCTTTTTAAAACTATTGATGAAAATCAATTAATAGATAAATGCAATGCACCCCGGAACAGAAATATTTAAATACCGCTTTTAGAGAAGCAAAAATGCTTGTGGTATTTTTTAAAGTTCAACAAACTCAAAACGCACAACGTAGCTTTGTGTCATTTTAAAATTAGGCGAGATCCATAGATTATTTTAACATTCAAGCAGCTGTTTTATCCTTGATCATAATTTTAAAAACGAACGAATGATTTTACGGTTTTCATAAATATCATTCCAAGTAGAACTAGGAGTGAATATCTTCATCTTTATTGAGCCCAATCCAAAATGCAAAATCACTGTCAAGTTAGCTTGATAACGAAAACCGACATCCTGTTAAATTTAGATGACGTTTCTTAGAGCTATAAAAACTCGTGGCTGAATACTTACCTTTGGTAGAATACGATCTATTTTTTAGGCCTATGTCGATGTTGACGTTAACCGCAGCTTTCTCCTTAATCCATGTAGTTCATTCGCTCTGAGGTTATAAGAAAATCGAATTGTCAAAATCACGTATCAATAGGTTTTTCGGCCATAGTTACCAGAAGCAAAAAATGCAGTTGTATTGTGATATTGCTCTTGTCAGCCTTAACAGTTTTGTTCCTTCGGTTTAGGTGCCCATTAAAAGCAAAGTTATTATCTTTTTCTGTTTTAATATAGATACGTTATCGTATATTGTCTTGAGTATTTATATGTTTATATATTTACTATTATATAGCCAATTGCGAAGCGTTTTATTCATTTAATCATTCACTCTTCTCTGTATTCTGGGTTTCTTCCTTTGTCAAGCAGAAGGGATTTAAAATAGAATACAATTTCGATTTGATTGAAAAATTTGTGCTTGAAAATCAAAAATTTATTTCAAATGTTGTTTTCACAAATTTTAATCTTTCACGCGCTTTTGTTCATAAATATGTGTGTTTCTGATTATTTTAAGAGATGAATACATTTGTACTTTTGGAGGGTGAAAAACTTGGTACCAAACCAATTGTAGTCGAGTCAAAAAATTTGGTAATGAGAACAAAGAGAGTCACTTTATGTACAGGGACACACAATCTTTCGTTTAAAGTAAAACTCTGAAATTACTAAGGATCCCAATTTATATAATACATTGATTAACTAACAATAGCGGATTTTTATACCTCCTGCCTAGCGATGTAAAACGAGACGGCTTCTAGACGCCATGAAGTATGTACATTACCGCTCAGTATCGAGTTCTGAATCGGTTTAAGTACGCCCGTCTTCGCGCCTATGTAATATCGATGGTAAACATTCCGCGCACGTAGAAAAATATCCACCTTAATTTCGGCGAAAACTTTAGAAGTACCTGCATGGAGGCCATTGAAGTGAGCCACGCATTTATTCACAATATATAAACTGAGAACATCCTTGTTCTCAAAAGGAAAAAATTGCGTTTTTCTCGGCTTTCATAAACTGCAAGAAGGGCAACCACCGAGATTTATGTATATATTCTATGGATGATCAAACAGTACGTGTAAAAAAATCGTAAAAGTCGGTCGTATTACAGAGTATTAAAATTTCATTTTCTTCCAATCTGTTTTAAAACATTGGTGGTGCGTGCAGAAGACTCCACCAAAGCTAAGTAATATTGTCACAATATAACCAATAATTGGTACGAAATTTACTTTTTTTGAAGTCGAACTTTGGAGGTACTTTGGGTACTTCTGCATTTTCGTCGCGTCACGTATACTTTCTGTTCTCTACGTGCACATCTGTCTGAACTAAAAACAGATTTTAAAATAAATTTACTTCTTTCCTATGTGTTTGTGAATATTCATATGCATGGAAAACGCATCATGCAAACAACAAGAATGGACAAGGCTAAGATTAAAGACGTAATGGAGAATTACTAGCAACAAAAGCGTGCTCGCTTAGATGTAGGTGCAGTTGGTGCCAACCTTTTGTATCGCTGAGGACAATGTCACGTAAAAATTCTAATGAGCCGATTTCGACGTACTTGATATAAAGGCTAGCCCCATTTTTGAATTTTTTCAGTTATATCAAATCAAATTAGGGAAAGCTATTGCTTAGTTAGTATCGAATACCTACTGGAATAATATATATATATAATAATTTACCAATGTACCAACCTAAATTCGATAAATTTTATTGTTTTCGGAAATGCTGGACTAATATAAGTGAGCACTACGAAATCAACTTATGTTAGCGGCCTAGATGTACATGGTATACAAATGCAATTATACGGGGAAATGAACGAATGTGTGCACTCAACATGTTTTACGTTAGTAAGGTACTTTGCTTGTAAACACAGCAGAGTATATTTGCTCATTTGTAATGAGTGGAGATTTGTAGAGCATAATCAAGTATTTGAAGGCATTCGTTTATGAGATTTGGCCGCGTGTGGACCGTAAAATGCAAGTCGGTTGTTTTGTGAAAAGTATTCGGGGAAAGAGGTGTTCTTTATTTTCGATAGGAAAGTAAGCCTCTATTGTCATTCTAAATTCGGATAGTGTTTTCTGTGCAAGAAGAGAGAAGTAGCGATGAAAACAGTTTGTGTATTTATGTAAGATGCGATTATGTTTGCGCGTATTGTGCTTTGTTTTTTCCTTCACAAACCTAAAGTAAAACTATATGCTTGCTCTTCGTCAGTTTTTTAAATTTTGTCGATATTTGGTGAAGCTAAAATAAGTGTTATATATTTATCTAATGTTTGCCAGCTGAAACTATTCCTACACATGTCTTGTATTACCATTTTTTATTAACTACGGGTGTGTCATTAGCGCGATCGACTTACATTTTTAGTTTATCCTTTAAACAAAATAGCCAAGTTTCAAAATGAAAGGTGCTATGTCTTGCAAGTTCTATTGAAAAAGTTAAATTGCGGCCGTTGTAAAAGTGCCCGTTGGCAAATCATGCCCGTTTTATGAATATATGTTAAAATTCCACTGCTTAGATTCGTAACGTAGAAGGACCGAAACATTCAAACCTCGTGCAATTAATGTATGTATTTTATAGACTCGATTGTGCAAGAGTTCCCGCTATAATAAAGAATACAATATGGATGCGTCCTTCACTGTCAGTATGATAATTTTGCCATACTGTTCTACTAAAGAAGTGTGAGCTTACCTTAGGAAAATTTTTGGGCATTTTGCATTTTATTAATAAAAGTCCGCATAAATAAAAGTTTGTTTAGAAGTAGAAAGTACTTGTGCGAACAGTCTCGTAGGATTTTGGATTAAAATCCTGTGTAATTGAAATTTATAGTTTACACCTAAGTTTAGTTAAATTTAGTTTTCCGAAGCAAATTGATTGGCGCATATAGCCAAATCGTGTTGACCACGTACGTACCATATCTTAAATTCCGAGAACAAAGTGGTAAAAGTGACCTTATTTAAGTTATGTACAAAAATGTAATACATAAGATTGGAGTTGTATTTACATACTTTTTTAAATAACTCTAAAATGATTATACTAAAGGTATAAGAATCGAGGTTTTTTAATCAAGCCAAATGTAAGTTTTCGCCCTGTTAGATAGGAGGAAATTGATTATAATGTTTTTTATATATGCTACACTAATCGAAATTTTGACGTCCCTTGTTTTTATCGACTCTATTTTAATTTTATTGTCTCCATTTTAGCCAAATCGTTTTCATGTATTCTTCGTTGATTACTTATCAATTCGAAGACACGTAGCAGCTGTGAGTGTAGATTTGAAAATGAATCTCAGGATGCCTTTACAGTAACTGAAAATAAAAAATTTATAACTAAGGGGTTTAATTTATTACAAATTTTGCTTTTTCAATTTGACTAATGGCTCAAGAGATGCCGCCTATTCGAGTAACATTGTGACGGTCAGAAAAAAGAGAGGAAAGACAAACAAATAGGGAGATGGTGGACTTAGCATAGTGGCTGTGTGCCCAAACGATATAAGAGTTGCGCCTTTATCTACTCAGGGCTCACGGTAGCTACGACCGAAGTAAACTTTACTGTATATGAGACTTGAACCCGCTGAAACTCGCTTTGCGATTGCAATTCTTACCTATTCGACTACTTACGCCCATTAAAATGGAGAAACGCTGGACTTGCTACCGTTGTTGAAAGCCTTCACCTTAATAATTTATCATGTTGTCAAATTTGTAACTTCAGGCGCTTTTATTGATTACAAGACTGCTCATAACTCGAAAATAATGCTTTCTGCGGACTAATATTTTATCGCACTTTCTATGTTGTGTATTCAGGTGATTATATATAAAAAATTATGGGCTTACACTTATTTCTTTATTTATTTCTGTTTATTGCTTTTCAAGTGTTTTGTTTTTATTTGAAGAAGCATTTGCTTGCTTATTTCTATTTAACGGTTCTTTGTGGATCTGTGCGAAGTATTTTAATTCTAAAATTAAATTTCGCGTTAGCTGGTTGCGAACCTAAGCGCATTACGGTAAATTCGAGTCTTCATTTAAAATTTGTAGCGATCTTTTATTAAAGCATGCGATAGTTTAAAAGCTCTGTCGAGAAAATAGGTTATGGTTTCTTAAATATTCAGGTATAATAAATAGTAGTAAATGAAAATTAGCCTGCACTTTTCACTCAGTCGGTTTCTTAGTGTCGGGTAAATTAAAAACTTTCAAATTTTAAATTTCGATTCTTCGTATCGTTGCTTTTGCCTTGTTATGCTTTCTTTTTTTCGCAGTAAATTCTTAGTAATTTCTAGTTAGTAATGTTTCCTCTTTTCAAAACTGTGAAAGGCGGCATAAGGCATGCGTATTAAAGCATAAAGTATCCAAATCTTTCTGTGAAGCGTGAACTTTGTTCATACGTTTACTTACTAGAATAAACCTATTCTCGTCCTGCTTTTTTAAATAATTTTTTTTTTTAATTTTCCAACTTATCTTCTTACCTTAGAACTTGGATTAGAATTCCTCTTCAACGTTATTTTCTCGTTGGCTTATTCACAACTCAGATAACGCACATGATGCGAAACCGTATGAATATATGTTTCCATAGAATATTTCGCGTTTTTATGGTAACCAACCTTTTAACTGAATATTTGCAGAGAGCTTAAAATTTTAAATTAAGTACCAGGTTCCCCCGAGAAGGAAACAACTTATTGCAAGGTTGATGTATGTCTATCGGACTTTAATCGGTCCTAAAACATTTTATAAAACTTTTACGGAAACAATAAGCTAATGGTGGTGAGTGTTTATTTCGTAGCAACGCTAATATTCTAAGGATAGTCAAAATGTTGGGCAACCGAAATATGTGGTAAGTGAAAATGTCATCAAAATTGCAAGCGTGTCGACCAAAAAGCAGGTGAAATCTTCGTTGAGAGCAAGGAAATTAAAATTAAATATCTTATCTGAAGCAATTTGGCTTCAAAAAAATGTCGTCACTATTCGTTTCGCACAAATTGACTGATAACCAAATGTGGTGTACAAAGGGTCACACTTATGATTGATTTTTAAACCATATTTCGTAATTTAGAACCGCGTACTTTCTACCAATCCGAAAAAATGCACTTGATGATAGAAGGAGATCACACAAATACCTTGCACCATTGTAGCTACATTGCACTACGAACACTGTAATTTTTTATACAGGTGCGAGTGTCACACAAATTCGGCAGAAAGTCAGCGAAGAGTGCCATTTTTGTAACAGGCGGTGATAAGGGGCTTTAATAAAATCTGGTACTTTCAAAATACATGTGACCGTTGTAGGCAAAAGTAAATTCATGCCTAAATATTAGCATTGATCTTTTTCAGGTAAGAAAAATCGCAATTAATTAGTTGACCCTTACTTTCCAATAGGTTTGAGCTGACTAGTATCGGTTGTTTGACTTTAATTTGATCTGCAAAATTGAACTTCAAATTATTCAGGTTTTATATTGTCTTTTAAGGCCATTTGAATGTCGTCTTAATATCGTGCTGGACATCTGGTATTGTTCTGGCTTCTGCTGTTGCAAAAAAAATAATTTTTTCTATCTTAAAATATCAGTCAGGGTAGTCAGGTAGTTGAAAAGCAGCTTTCGCTTTCCTATTCAGCTGTTTAGCAAAAGCTGTCAATCAAAAAAGTCCAAAATTAATATATGCCGCCGTTACGTTTGTGGCTTAGGGAATAACAGAGGGTAAGGTATTGGATGTTATTATGATTTCCCACTTTTAAAGACGTTAGGTACCTGATATAAAGGCTCTTACGTTCAGAGACTTAATGAGCGAAGAGCGGGTTATCACAGTACATAACAGTAACATTTAACTAATATTATTCAATAAAGTAAGATTTAACTAAAATTATTCAGGACAGGTTTTAGAAACAAGAAAGACGAGGGGAAGGGTATATTGAAATTTAAACGTCCGCCTATATTTTATGTAATCATTTTATTCAAGACATATTTTCAAGCTATAGGTGGCGTAAATATAACAAACCTGCATGAAAACAAATAAAGAATTTATATTCGGCTAAGGCTGTATCTCGTATACCCACCACTCTAAAGATCTCCATGCTTTTAGTTATTGTGATAAAAAAATGAATGGAACAAATTTTATATTTCACCGTTTACTTCACTAAAAGATGTTACGATAAAACGAATCCGCTACGTCGTGACGCCCACTACAATTAATTCAGAATTAACATACCTTGTCGGTTTCTACTCTCCAAGTCCTTTTATTTGATATTCACATCGCTGGTGCTATTAAGAAAAAATTATTCCACCAAGTTATGGTGTTCACCATATTTATTTGGGAACTAACGCATCTTTTGGTGGATAATATATCTTCATTTAACGAATGTGCAAACCAGTTTACAGCAATCTATCTTCTTCACCACATGGTTAATTAGCATAGAACCTCAAAAAAGTAAAAAAAGAAGAAAATTTAAACATTCATAATTATGTGTGAGGATGGTCATTTTTACACATAGATATTAGAGCTTTACGTGAAGTGAGTGTGGAAAATTTCAACATTCTATCTTTTATAATTAGTGAGTAATGAGAGGAGCTCCTCAAATTTTTGTTTAGATCAATTTAGCCCATTTTCAGTACCAATCTGGGCGCAAGTGCAAAATGATAAATTAATTAATAATTCTAAAGATAGATCGTGTTGCACGTTAGTGATTTGTGAACAATGGTGTTTATGATAATTTTGATATAAATTAATAGATACTTCCACACTCTTGATTGCACCGATTTTGTAAGATCTTACTTTTCCGCAATGTCATTAAATATATCGGGAGCAGCATGAACATATTTAGCTGCCAAATTGGCACTTTTGTTACCCGTTGACTTGACCTGAAAATCGAAGTAGCATTGAAAATTTGTTGCTTTCGAAGCTTTGATGCGGCTAATGGTTGACCAAAGGAAGACAAACAAGTTCATAATTATTGTTTGTTAACGCTAACTTATATTTACTTTTTTGACAGTTAGAAAGTGACTATTTATTCCATAACATACTGGGGTAGTGAACGCTCCATTCGTGGTGAAGCATTTTTAGATGTAACAGCTAAATATATACGTGTATATAAGTAAAATTTACTCAAAAGTAGAATAACGAAATTTTGGTGGCGTGTTCAACGGCAATACTCAGGCCTAGGATACCTAGGATCCTCAGCACCCTCTGATTTGACTGCATTTGACTCCTGTTCAGCGATTCTGTAATTAAAAAGTGTATAATATGCCTGATCATTCGCTTCAGGATTCTGGCCAATGGCTCAAAATTAATTTGCATAACGTTTCCATATGGGCTGATCCTTTCATTTTATCAAGTGACCCAGTTTTCCTAGCACTTTCATGACAGAGCCAAATCTATTATTAATTGAAAACAAAACTGTACTTCGGCTGCGGTGTTTATTATAATAATTACATAACTCTTTGCCAAATCAACTCTCACTTCGCAACCCTCAAAACGTTTTAAAAATGCTCCTAAATGGTTCAAATATGTAATATCATCCAGAGCCGCTATTTTTATATCATCGATGATTTCTGTCACACCAAGCCTACCATTTAATAATTTTTTTACCCATCACCGAAACGTAAATGGTATATTCATTTTGTCAAAACGTTTCCAAGGCCCACAAGTATATATATTCCCAAAAAGTATATATATTACTGATCAGGATCAATTCCTAGACCGATTTAACCACGTCCGTCTGTCCGTCTACGTAATGTCTGTTGTAAACATGAAGCTATTGACTTCGGCCGCAAAAATAAAGCTATAGATTTCGAATTTGGCAGAAACATTGGGAGTTCTTGCAGACAGATTGGTATTGAAAATGGGCCAAATTGATCGAAGGGGACGTGTACAGCATCACGTAAAATGAGGACACCTCTGTTTTTAAAAGGAATGAAAAATCGGTTTTTTGGTCATTACTCACAAACTATAGCAAATGTACGAAAATATCAACGCATATTCTATGGACGATTCTGTACCATTTGTGTACAAAAAAGGAAAAAAAAAGACCAGCCCTGTCCAGTATTATAGTGTATCAAAATTTAATTTTTTTTACAATACCTTTATAAAGGGCATAAATAAACTTCAATAACCCCATAAAGTATATAAATTCTTCGCCAATTTCAAATTTGGACTGCACCTAAGCATGTCCGCTCTTTGGGTCTGTCCATGTGCGTGTTGGCGCAACGTTATAATATGTGGGGTAAACTTTCTCCCGTAAGCGAAAGCGAAGATATTGCTTACGAATTTGTAAAAGAATTTCGAATTGACCTAAACTTTTCAAAGAACACACCTACAACGGCCACATGTCTATACGACAAAAAACTTGTTTTGAAAACAGAAAAAATCAGCTGCACCTTCTCCATATTATAGAGAATTAAAAATGTTATTCTTTTACTTCTTTCGTCTTTTTTAGGATAACGGTGATGGGTATAATAAATTCGGTCTAGATCGAATTTGATTTTCTTACTTGTTGACCAATTCATTTTTTTCATCTCCAACATTTGAGTCCAAATGGTAGTCGGCATAATTTCAAGAACACTGATGTAGAGCTATATTTAACTTTAATTTTAGATTGCATATTTTTTATTTTATCAGAAAATTAGTCTAACACAGTTTTTTCGTCAAAAACTTTCGACTAAATAGGGATGGGCTGACCGTACTATGTATAATTTTCGCTTAGATTTTTCCAATCGAAATTTTTTCTTCGTGTCTGCTGCCTTGATCGTAGTTACTGATAATTCTGTCTTTATTTCAAATTATGAGTTACATTATTAATATTCAAAGTTGTACATAATTGAGAAATCTGATTAAGTTAGCTAATATTTCAAGTGGCTTTTATCGCATCATTGATTTGATTGGTACGACCAATTTTTTCTTGCACCTTCCATCTGGGTTTGAGATACGTTTTCTTTAAGGGATTTTTTTTTAATAAAACAAACATATATTGTAATTTTATGCGTACACTTACACGCTAAATGAGCCTTATTGCCACATCGGTAACATTTTTTTCGCTTATTTTACTTTCATTTATACTGACAATTTTTTTTCTTTTGAAATTGCAGCTTGTTTCGGCACGTTTACTAATTTATTCTGCTAAGCCTCGTTCTGAAAGTTCCTTTGTTACGGTTGTTCTTAACGCTACTTCGCTATAAATGCTTTAATAACCTAAAAAACACGAACATTCAAATACCTTATCTCATGCCGAGACGAGATCTCTCTTTTTCCTTTCTTGTGAAAATCGTAAGAATCTCATTAGTATCCGTATACATCTGACATATCTCAAGCTATTTATCGCATTTGCAGCAAAAAATGTGTTTTCCTCCGGCAATTGTCAGCCGCTTAAGTTTTCACGTGAATTTAATATAAAAGTCAAGTTGGTCGTCTTTACCATCGTTTAAACAAACTGGAACGAACATTGAAATGAACAGAGAACTTTTGCTGGACAAGCAAATAAACTTAAGAAAGGCCACCTAGAAGCACTTGCGCATAAATGGTCCTAACAACAACAATACAATTCGCTATTCTTGATGGTAACTATACCCGCCTGTCGTTAAAATAGACTTATGCATTGCATTTCCACTTTCACGCCTGAATACTACCTCTCTTCAGTGCTAGCAGTAAAAGCACAACTGTTGTTTCCTTATGCAGCCTTCCGGTCATCCAGTCGGTATTGCAACATGTGGCCATGCTACACAAAGTTCGCTGCTTTAGTATTTCAATTAATACAGAAAATCTTATAAGGTTTTCAACCAGAAATTCGCCCCTCGTGGTAACTGTTTTTCGCAATTCTGGCTGCTATTGAACTCAAAAAAGTCAACGCGAAAAAAAGGTTCGATCTAATTGAAAAGGTAATCGTATCGAGAAATTCGCCCTTCCAAGTTATAATCAATACGCGATGCGTTTGGCACATATTTGACCCAAAACTAGAGTTTTATCAATCAAAAAAAGCGGTCAGTAAAAGGTTGCTTGTTTTGATAAGCACTCGGAAATAAATGGCAAATTATTAATGCTTTTTAAAAACAATTTTCTCTACGAGGTTTGTCCTTTTCGTTTTTTGAATTAATTAGGATAGCTCGGTATTCAAGTTATTACTTTGTAATTTATGAAAGAAATTGTAAGCCTTGAAAAGGAAGCTTCATACCGCCTACGAAATATATTCACGATCATTACCAAATACTGAATGGATCTTTGTAATTCCCCCTATCCATCTGCGTGAATGTCTGTGGTAAACCTCCCGTCGGTCGCAATAATAAGGATATTACTTTCAAATTTGGCAAAACATTGGAGGCTCTTCCATGCGCGTTGCTGTTGGAAATGGACATGCTCTAATAGCACCGTCTTTTTAAACCACAAGTAAACTGCGTTTTTTACTCAAAAACTACAATTTCCATGAATTGTATAGTCAATCCTACCAAATTGCACAAAAATTAAACAAAGGATGTAATGATATGGTAATTGTATGTTTTCAATCAAGCCTATAATAAAGATTATTACAATTTTAACAGACTAAAAATGGAAAATAAAACCTGGAAATTCTTTCTTCAGGAGAATGAGAGTGTGATAGAAAACGAAACAATTTAAAACGAAAAAAATTATATATTTTATGGAAAATGTCGACAAAAACTTCAATTTCACCCGTTGGCAACAGCGCATCATCTGCGAATTCTTCACCTTGCATTGCAGACTGTGCAGCCGCTGTAAGAATTAAGAAGGAATTACCCAGCGACGAAATCAAGGTAAGTAACTAGTAGGTTTAAAAACAATATTAAGCTAAATTTATGATACGTGTACGTAACATTTGAAAATAATAATTGAAAATTTCAAAATTTTAAGCTCGGTGCAAATAGTTTAGGGACGTCAACAATTTATTATAAATATTAAGAATAATTTTTCTCAAGTTTTCGAAAGTAAATAATCAATAAAAAGCAAAAAAGAGTAAAAGCACATAAATAAATAATGCATAAGCCAGAATGAATGGAAAACTTTTATAAATATATAAAGAAATAGCTGGATGAAAGTTAAAAGAAATACGCATGTAAAGACTGTGCACATAGTAAAAGTGTTAATACAACAATTTTGAAGTTGTTCGAAAAACGCTTATGTTAACGGCCAAATTTCATCTGGAAGCCTTGCAAGATATATGCAAGTAACATGCCTGCAACAACATAAGTTCAAAGAAAACAGATTCAAATCTGTTCATTCATGCAACAGCGTTGCTTGGAAGTTTTTAAATCGTCTTGATGAAACTTCTTTATGCCTGCAACGTTCATGAAAGGTATTGGTTAGACTGAACGAGCATCGACGTCGTATACAATAGCAAATGTCATCAATAACTGAGGATCCTAGTGAAGAAAAGTGAATAGTGACAATTGGGGCTTTAAAGTTTTTAAATATGATAAGCTCTTATTGTCTGGGTTGATGTTCTATACACAGGCATTACACATTACACATTATATAATCATTAAAGATGGAGAAGCACGCATATAGATATAGAGATATGCATTCCAATTTGTAGCCGCTCTTACTTTCTAACAGGTAGTTTTTTTATCACAATTCAAAAAAAATTTTTCTTATATATTAAGTAACCCTAATTAAATTGAAAGACAGCCTTTTCAATTTTTTTGGAAACACCATTACGTCTGTAGGCATCCTAGAATTTCTACAAAACACTAAACCAGGCGATTTTCACAGATTGGTTTGGAAGTCAACTTTATACTATAAGGAGGGGTGCATAGAGAGCGGAAAGAACGGTAGTTGGACGGCGCAGGTTTTCGGATAAAAACTTCCTCACCAACGTTTTATGGCCGTCTTATCTGAATTGCGCGATGCAATCGCAATATTTGTTGATAACAAAATATAGAGTCAAGCTTCCAGCTAATTTTAACCAGCTTAGCTTTCACAACTTTAACTATCGCTGCGTTAATTTTGCTTTTGCAAAGTTTTGTATAACTTTACTCATATTCAACTATTATCTTTTTTTTATATTATTGTTATATAAAACAAATGTTTCATTGTTTGTTATCAATCTCTTCAAATATTGTAATTTATTTTTTGTATCCAATTGTTCGAAGCTTGTAGGTTAACCTTTATCGTCGCACGATTCTCCGATTATTTTAACAATGTCAATGACTTTCTCAGTAATGGCCCGATTAGTGAGCGACGCGCCTTTGACAATAAAGTATGTAAAGCCGAGACGAGCAACTATATACGTATTGTTAGTTTCTATTTATTTATTTATTTATTGACGCTTATGTAACTTCGAAGCCATTAAGGCCTATTATAATAGATTGCAAAGTCTGCCATGGCTTCAATAATAAAGTTAAATGATACAAAATGTTCTTAAACAATCTAAAGGGGAAGAAAGGAAACTTGAAGGTAAAGAGACCGAAAAGATAAAAATAAGAAATAAAAAAAGAAAATAGAATAAAAACTAAAAAAGAAAGATGAATCAATAAGTTAACTAGATTAGTACAAAAGGAAATAACACAACCGCACCTCCATTCCAATACTAAGTAACCAGCTAGTCTCATTATTAGCGCTGAAGATTAAAAGCCTTCGTTTGTAAGTGAGATAAGAGCATCAAGTTGCACACACAGCAGAGTCATTAGGTCCATTTTTTCCCCAATTCCAAATATTCCTCTGTCTTCTAATAATTTCGGGATCAATATAGTGACTTTAAACATTGTTTATGTCCAAGTTAGCAACGAACACCCCAAAGACATTAAAAATTGTCTTACGACAAACGTTCCGCCTGTTGATTTAAAACCTGTAAACATATTTAAAATCTCTACAAAAGAATTAAGAGTTGTAGTAGTCTTCAAATTCTAGTTCGGCAAACGTCGAAACGGCGTTCAATAAATCATTGTGGCTACGAGTGCTTTGAATAAAAGAATTCATTCCTAGGAGTAAATTTCGAAGTAATAATTCGTTGACCCCTAACACGCTCCACGTTTTCAAAAAAAATCGCCCAGACCAGACTAGTGGTGTCGCTTTAGTAGCCAAATCAGATGTGTCTGCCCTACTCATCTGATTTCCTAATTTGCGTATCCTTTCAATGCAGTGACTGTTTACCTACTCAGTCTCTCCAATATGTTAAATCTCACTTGCTCGAATATACAATACGATTTTAGCAAAGCCAATATAACATTGCTTAATAGCGCATATTCCGTATGGATTGATTTTTCGTTTGAGAATATGGAGTGCTACTTTTCTACACTTTGTAGTAGCAACAAGGCTAAATGTAGCCACTTCCGCGTTTGGCCTGATTAAACAACAGTTCTCTCGAAAGATTTGCCTTTCAACTTTAGTTAGGAAAAACACACTTATCAAAAAATACATGAAAATTGGCTCTGGGATCGATTACTTTATCTACTCTACTGTAAGGCACAGATTTAAACTCGTCAACCACCAAAGTCATTACAGTTATCTTTAAATGATCAAATGTTCTCCTCTTACCAATCTTAAACATGTTTACTTATTTCTCAACTCTAAAACCAGAATCTCCATATATCCGTCATAGATGTTGTTTAATGGTTCTGATTCCTTTGGCGGAATAGAAACTGCGAATCTCTTATTGGAAATTGTTTAATCTTTCTCTGAAGGCAGAGGCTTCCCCTTAAAAGAGCGGTTTTCTTATTCCTATTCAAGAAAACGGAACGAGACATCTAGTCAGGACATGAAGAGGCGCTGCCAACGTGAGTGTTGAATTCTTACCCAATAATTCGTTTTCGCAAGACTTCTGTTTTTCATTTTTCTTCTGTTTAGATTCAGTAAAGCTTTTGACTTAGTTAGCCCTAAATGATTAGTCTTCAAACTCCAGTTCTTGTGTTTTCCTTCATACTGATTACAATGGGTAGGAGTTCAGAGCTCTTTTCAGGTCCATCGCATCCGATGATTCTAGTAAAATCAAGCTTTCCTCAAGGGATCCTTATAGCTCCTTGCTATTTATCCTATATACTATTCGTTGGATAAATTCAGCCATGTCCTAATATGCTCTTATGAAATGAAATTGTTTTCCTCATTTAACATGCAATCGCACTCTTATCTTCGGCAGTCGAATCTAGACAATTAAGTCTAAGAAAATGCAAGAAACTTTCCTTTTCTACGCGGAACTGATTTTCCATTCTATAAATTGGAATATGTAAGTTTATTTATTCATTCAAAGGTATTGTTTGACCAAAAACTTCGTTTTCATCTGCACATTGAGCTATCCGTGCCCGTGCTTGGCTTTAATAAGCGATGGTTTACAGAGCTTGAGGAGCCTTACATTACGAAATTTCCTTGGTGAGACCGATGCCTAAATACGACATAGTTGTACGGTCTTCTATCGCGAGAAATTTTAGAAGTTATTTGCACCCGGTTGAGTGTTAAATGTAGACCAATTCGGATTAAGGACACGCTTATAACGCAATATAAATCGTAACCAGCTTTTTTTTTAAGAGTGGAGAAATTAACTTTTTGTGCTCATTTTTCATAAATTGCTCCTCTAGTAAAAACTATTACCTATTATTTTATGGCTGGTCTTGTACGGTTTGTAGAAAAATTACAAAAAGTTGGTCAAGATGCCCCTATATCGCAGAGTGCCAACAGTCCATATTCCTCGATCTTTTTTTAACCTCAGTCTCAGGCTAATGTAATCTTATTTCTTTTCGTCCTTTCAATCCGAAAGTAAGGATTAAGATGCTACTTATTTGTGCGTTATATGTCTTTTTATTCTAAGAATTCAATAGTTTGATTTGGGGATAGGCCTAATGCTAAAAATAGCGGCGCAGTTAAACTGATATTTTCAAATTCTTCTATGAAACTTAATATAACCTGCACACCGTTGGAAAGGCCATTAATAGAGGATTCATTCTGTCCTAGTTTCATTTTTTCAAAGGGCATGGTTTGCCCACAGTGGCATTTCAAAGTTTGCTTATATGTTAGCCTGCATTATGTTAAGTATGGAAATTTTCAAAGTCCCATAAAAAGACTCTTTGTGCAAAACTTAATATAACCTGCACACCGTTGGAAAGGCCATTAACAGAGGATTCATTCTGTCCTAGTTTCATTTTTTCAAGGGACATGGTTTGGTCACAGTAGCTCCGTAAACTTTCGCTTTATCAACCTCATTTATGGCATAGTGTAAAAAAGTTTTGGTTTCGAATATTAGTTAATTTACATAAAGTCATGTTTTGTTTATAAGAACTTGCAAAAAAATTTGCGAAAAGTTCTATTTTACTTGTATTTTGAGTTAAATCCCTCCGAGTTTTCGTTTAACAGAATTCTGTTAACGGCTTTACAGAGCTCTGTAAAGTGTCTCTGTTACTTTGTGTCTTTGCTAGTTATATATAAATATAACTTCACACCCCTGTTGTTTAGCTGTGTTGTAGCTGGCGATTCCTTAATGAGTAAATTAACATGAACTATTTATATACTTGCATAAATACATTAAATAATTGCTTTACACATAATAAGAAATGCAACAAAATAAAAGAATATTAAAACTCAAACAATGTATACGGTGGGCGTAATGAAAATGTACAAATAAAAACCCCCGACGTAATGAACTGTAAAAAGAAAGCCAGCACTAAAGATGCCGATGCCAAGTTTGAAATATTGAAAGCGTTCCTTTCCACTCTCAGTGTGCCTGGCTCTGGTACAACTCGGAAGTCTCATAGATCTATCAGCTACTATAAATTATAAGTTTAGCGTTGTTAATAATTGTCAAACAACCCGCAAACAGCAGGGGAGTGCC